TATACACATTCAACATTGCACATTTCAATTGTTCATTTGTACATTCAGATCTATATTTTTAAAGATTGTACTTTTTAGTTTTCGTCATTTCTGTTCTATATTTTTATTTCTACATTGTATGTTCTTCCTTGCTTCTCATAGAAGTGTTGTGCACCAAACACCAAGGCAAATTCCTTGTAAGTGAAAAACCTTCTTGGTAATAAACCTGATTCTGATTCTGATTCATTAAGGACACGGAAGGTTTAGCCAGAAGAAAAGCTAACAAGCTAACACCAGGAAGAAGCAGAGCGGTGCAAAAACCGGACGGTATTTTTGTCTAAACATACAAGTGGTGGTTCCATAACGATATATGCGAGACAATGTGGGCCTAAAAGACAAATATGCAACGTTATATCCAATATTTATCAATGACTGTACTTACTAGACCGGTCCATGTCTTGCATTCTAATGCAGCGTCACCAAAAAGACGGAGTACTTCCGGTGTCACACCAAGGTTCACTTCCGGTTGACGCTGTCAAGGGGCGTGTGCTACTTAAATGATCCCGGATGAGTAGCTATACAAACATTTATCTTCGGCTTTTGAAATTATTATAATTTATGTAAACTCGCACATAATGTAATTTTAATACTTGTATTTCACCTTTATCGTTTTAAAAAATATATATACATCATAACGTTAATTGTAAACAGGACCAGGTCAGAGTCCACATTCATTTGGTCATTTAATTGACAAGTTTATAAATTCAAAAATTTCCTAGGTGAAATGAAAGAAGTTTGTACACATTACAAAAAGCACATCTTTCATATAGATATATTAGCACTTTATTTTTTCATTGATAACTTGATCCCTTTTTCCATTTCCATTTGGATGTTTTTCTTTTTCAGATGACAACTTTTGCTTTTCTCTTTTCTAACAGCTTCGTACAGTAAGTTACCTGAACTGTCAAAGATTCTTTGACAATATTTGAATTAATTTTAATATGTACTGTGATGGTCACAGACATCCCGGGCCAAAAAGCAACACTAACACTTTTCTCCAAATCTTGTCACCTCGTTCAATAATGAACAAGAATAGGAAGAAAAAATTGAGAACTGGTTAAATACTGGTCTCTGATTTTTATTTTCTTGAAATCACAAAATCCTTGGCTTTTTCCCAAGATTCATAAATCATTTGTTCCCATCAGATATTGCATTAAGATACATTCCTTGGGGCCATCCTTTTTAGCCTCCTAACTTTTTAACGATTCTTGAGTTGATGTGTGTAAATCAAAGACTAAATTATGTTTGATACATAGATTTCTTTTAAAAAAATACTATTAAACATGGTAATGTTTTAAATAAAAAACATGAGAAAAACAATCAGTTATGATACAAAAAATAAAATGCATTGGGAATGATCAGTTATTGCATTTTATTAAGTCAAACAAAAAGATAATTTTCTGCCCATTAATCTTTTTGCCTTTTAGCATTTACTGGTTCAACAACCATTGAAAAGTATGTATAAGACGCTAGTTCCTTGTCCAGAAGTGGGCCATTTTCTTTAACACTTGGGGGACTTGTCAATTTTTCATATTTTTGACTAATACGTCTATCAAAATGATCAGGTTTGAGGTGTGAACAAGTGAAAAGCAGCAACTCTCCAGTAATAAAAAGTCTCAGAAAGCCCGGGTGATTATTAATCAGATCCACCGTAAAACATTACAAGAAAAGTCTAATCCCAAGCAAAAAATATAGATAAAAGCTGTGGCCACAACGTGAGACGCAGTATGATTATTATTATGTTTTTATTCAATATGTCATTAAACTAGAGCCTTCCCTTTTCTTTTCTTTTTTTTTTAGTACTTAACCGTATTTGTGAACCTCATCAAACATTCTACAGACACATGTGGAACATTTCATTGTTTAATTACATCATGACAAACCGTCACACGT